GTTTCATTCTCCTATTGCAAAGGACCTTTAACAGCTGCTTATAATCTTGTCATAGGCCCTGTTTGAGTGGAACTAATCCCATAGGGGTTTTATTAAGACACAGTGATGGTGGAGGAGGGAAGCTTTTATGTGCTTCTGTTGGAAAGAACTGCCTTTTGAGCAATGTGTGTGCTGTGACAGAAAAATCCTGGTTTGGTGACTGTCGCTAGCTCAGATAACTGGGCTACACTGGGCACAGCAATCATCATTCTGGAGAATCACAGATCATTCTGGAGTCACCATATTAAAAGGATTAGGCAAAGACTGTTTCACGTATGCATGCCCAGGCCTCCTTTCTCTTTCTTAAGTAAATGCAAACTGAGAGTAATTTTGTTGTAATCACAGAATATGCTATGTTGAAACAGACCCACAAGGAGCGTCAAGTGCAATTCACCCTGCATGGGACCATTCCCAAGAATCACACCATGTGTGCAAATGCTACTTGAACTTTGTCAGGCAGGTGCTGTGACCACTTCCCAGGGAGCCTCTTCTAGTGCCCAGCCACCTTCTGTGTGAAGAACTTTTTTCTAATATTCAAATTGAACCTCCTCTGACACAACTTCAGGCCATTCCTTTGGGTCCTGTGTCACTGGTCCTCACAGAGAACAGATCAATGCCTTTTCTTCCCCTCACATGAAAGTTGTAGGCTCGCATCAGCCACTTCTCATACAGCTTCCCCTTAAGGTCCTTCACCATGTCCACAGCACTCCTTTGGATGCTTTCTAATAATTTCTTTCTTATAGTGTGGTGCCCAAAACCTCACACAATATTCAAGGTGATGCTGCCCCAGTGGGGGACAGTCCCCTCCCATGCCTGGCTGGCCATGCTGTGCCTGATGCACCCCAGGGCATGGTTGGCCCTTTGGGCTACCAGGTCACAGTGGTGATTCGTGTTCAACTTGCCACTGACCAGGACCCCATGCTCCCTGTCCATGGTGCTGCTTTACAGCATCTCATTCCCCAGTCTGTCCATGTATCCAGGGCTGCCCTATCCCAGGTGCAGAATCTGGTACTTTCCTTTTTTGAACTTCGTACTGTTGGTGATTGCCCAGCTCTTCCTGTTGGAAGTCTGTCTGCAGGGTCTCCTTGCCTTTAAGGGAGGCAACAACTTCTCCCAGTTTTGTATCATCTGTGAACTTGCTTAGTGTCCCTTCCAGTCCTGCATCCAAGTCATTCACAAAGATGTTGAAGAGCACAGGGCCTAAGATGGAGCCTTGCAAAGCCCCACTAGTGACAGGTCATCAGCCTCATGTCATTCGTTCACTGCAACCCTTTGTGTCCAGTTCCTGAGCCAGTTGCTCACCCATCACGTGACATATTTGTCCAGCTGTGTGCTGGATATTTTATCCAGAAGGATACTGTGAGAGACAGTAGCATAAGCTGTGTGGAAATCGAAAAAGATGACATCAGCTTCCCTGATGACTTCCCTTGATCAGCTAGATAAGTTACGTTGTCGTTAAAGAAAATCAGGTTTGAAAAGCATGATGCCATGCTGGCTGGGACTGAGGACTGTGCAATAATCAGCTATGTAAACTAGAATATACAAAGGGTCCCTATGCTTTATCACATTGTTAAAAGCCAAAGTGTGCAAATATCACTGCAGGTGATATTTGAAGGAGTAGACCCAGATAGCAAATTTTTGAGACTCCTGGGGCTATGATCTGAATGTATAGTTTGTACTCGGCATCTCAGAGCAAATCTGTATGCAACAACCCATTCTTCCAGCCCCCAGAGTGCAGATGTCTGCTGTGCTGCTTTTATTTCTGTATGCAGTAGAAAATCCAGCCTTTTTGAACCAGCAGTCAGTTGAGTGACTTTGTTTTTCAGGCCCTCACACAGTTATGAAAACCAGTTCATGTTGGGCACAGAGCACCTGCAGAAATTCAGGGTGGTGACATTTGTGCTGTGAATCAGAACCCACAGTCAAGTTTTCATACAAGTTTCCTGTCAAAATTTTTGTCATATTGGCCATTACAAGACATTTCAAAAGCCTCAGATAATGCACACTTTAGTAAGAGATTTCTAGGAGAGTGTTCACTGAGCACTTAAAAATCACCTAAGAGGCTCAACTACATAGTTCTTAATAGCATGTAACAAATAGGTAGAGCTAGTTAATTTTGTTCAACATTGCCAGACTATGAGTGGTTCTAGGATAGGGGCATGAGAAAAGGAAAGAAGAATGCAGATATCATTGATAGAGAGCAAAATGAACTTTTTTAATCTAAAGAATTCATGTTAATGAAAGGAAAGGCTGTCCCCAAACACATTAACAGCTCCTAAACTTGGTTCTCCCTTCCCCTAGGTTAGACCCAGACGACTGCAGCAGGCAGTCCCTGCCTTTTAAGGGATATTCTGTCTTTTGGTGGATGAGGAATTCAGAGGGGACAGAGGAGTAGCCCTGGCACCTCAAGAGTCTTTGCAGCTTCTGAGTCAGATAGTGGCAGCCAGATGCCCTCCAGCCTTATCTGCTACCCTTTTATTTAAGACAGGCAAAAATAATTTCTGGAGGGACTTAATTAAATTCCACTGGGTCACATTCTCTGTACAACTCATCTTCACTTCTCTTCCACATTTATAGTTGATGAATGTCTACAACCTTCCTCATTACACACAAGGGTTATTTCCAGAGATGCAGGCAGCAGGATACAATTCATAGGACAGTGAGATGAAGCAGAAGGTCTTATGCATAATTTTGCACTGAATATTCCTTCACTTCCTGATTCTACACCTGTTGCCTTTGTAAGATGGATATAGACATTCCCTCCTTCGATGTTTGAAGATGACAAGTGTGCATATTAAAATGTTGTCAAGCTGCAGCTCTGACAAGACATGCCTAAACTTTGGGTAGACAAAGAGACAGGAGATGGACTGCAGTAAAGCACACTGGCTTTCTTATGGGCTCTTGGAGCAAGGTTTCTGAATTTATCAAGAAGGTTAAATTTGCAGTGCTTAACACAGAAAATAAAATGATGCATTGGAGGGATGGCAGCTTTGCTTTCAAGTGCCCATTAGAGTGATTTTTGTGAAAAAGATGTGAGTTTTGGGCAGGATACTACTAGAACCAGCTTATTAAATTCATCCACACACCACTCTTAGTAACCCTGGCTTTGCTGACTTTGGTGCCCAAAAGCAGTCTCCACTGCAGACAACTACATATCTGAGTGATCTTAAAATATCTTTTACAAAAATAAAGCTCAAGAACAGTTTTGCTTAAGTGCAGGTATCTCAGGCCTCAGTAATTTATTTTCTATGTTGTACCCTCCTGTCTGTTCTTACCAAATGGTAAATTATCTCTGTTCTGAACTGGATTTCTTTTCCTTTGACTTTCTATGGCATATTATCTTTACATTTTCTATTACTGTGTGCATTTTTGCCTTTTTCTCTCCCTGTTTCCCAGCTCATCCTCAGAATATGATCTCTAGCCAATGATACTGTTGCATTTTCTGTGCTTATTTTGCCATTTCCAGCCATTGGTACAGTTCCAGAATTTCTGTGTGTTAGCTCCAAAAGAGTGGAGCTGTTTCCCCCAGTTGACTGTCTGGGTAGCTGTAGTGCCCTGGCAAGGCATCACTGCGTTGTACTGAACTGGACTGGCTGAGCACTGTGCCATCTGTACACAGATTATTACCCTTTACAGCCCCTTTTGATAGAAGCACTTATGGCACCATAGGAAGTGATGACTATATATATAGCCAGTATATATGGCTCCATGCTGTACCGATAGGAAAGTGTACTTTTGCATGCTGGTAGTGGGGTGTTGTGGATTTCTTTGGAGGTTTTCCCTCCCCAAGCAATAGTTTGGTTAGGAATCCGGCTGCCCTCCAATAGAGCCCTGTGTCATGCCAGCACCAGGCTGTAGAGCCTTGGATGTCTCTGGGCTGTTGCCTCTGAGGTGGAATAACAGCATAAAATGAGAAAGCCATAAAGATATTCATAAAGTAAAATGAAATTTTCATCTTCACTATCCTGAGCAAGCTGTCTGTATTATGCAAATATCAAAATGGCATAAACAAAACAGACTCTCCTTGTGCTAGAAGCACGTTTTGGCTCTCCTGAGATATTTGATATATTTGATGGATTTGATATCAATATAACTGATATTGCACTGCTCAGAGGTTTACCTCAGACTATTCTTAATCATCAGCTTGATCTGCCAGTCATGCAGAACATTCATAGGAAACATCTACATTTTCCTAAGGGTTTTTTTTTCCCTACCCCTATGTCCAGTCTAGATGAAATACTTCCACATAGTGGCTGGGGAGTCCAGGACAGAATTGCTTCCCTAGGCAGTACACTGGAGAATATGGCCCTGTTGTTTTTGCCTGACAGGATGCCCAGGTAATTCACAGTGTGTTGAATCTGAAATGGACTCCAATATCATGTGCTTTCCAACAGAAGTTAACCATAGGGCTAGATAAAATGATGCATATATGTCCTTGATTTTATATATAAATTCATATATAGCTATATTAGTTATATTATATATTTCTATCTATAAATATCTATTTAATACATTTAAGTAGTTACATCTACATATAAAGTCAATGATTCTTTATGTCTGTAACAGTGCTCTTTGACCTAGGAGTCAAATTCCTAGTCCAGTTGTAGTATGTACAGGGAGCAGATAAGTATAAAGTAAACTTTATAAAGTAAATGGCAGAAACTTCATCACAGGAGTGTCTTCAAGTACTAATAAGAAAAAATGATCTTATTGGGACAGCTTACATAAATAAAATTCTGCATGTCTCAGGGTTACTAGATAATGCCTAGGGCATGCACACAGAGTGGTCCACCTGGCTTATCTCACGTTCAGTTTAACAGGGGGTTATCTGTGATTTCAGCAGGAGCAAGGAGCCGTCAGGAAAAGCATGCTTGTGTCAGCATTCATCTAATGCAGTGAGGGGCCTAAAGGAAATGCACAGGAGAAAAAAAAATTGTGTTTTCTTTTTTACTCCCCCACAGATTGACCATCTCTGCTGAATGTCCCATGCAGCTTGAAGATTTCCCCATGGATGCACATGCTTGCCCGTTAAAATTTGGAAGCTGTAAGTTCTCTTCTGGAATAAGAACTTGAAAAATACCATTTTCTGGCTTCTTATGTTCAGACATATCTTGTACAGATCTTTCACCATCCCCCCCAGCCTTCCCCTTTTAACATGGTTCTTTAGCATCCCCATTCTGCTCCCCTTGCTACCACTCTGCTGCTTCTTTCCCATGACTATGCTTTATCTGGGCCTGCTGCTTTTCACCTCACGCCTGCATTCCATGATAAACGGTGAGTTGATGGGTGATATGCCTTATATATCCACATCAAATGTAACAGCCACTGTTAGGTGGAGTTCTAGATGCAGACAGCTAAATTGATAACTTGTTTTTACATCTGGAGTAAAACAGAGCTTTCACTGCACTGATCAGATTGATGTGCAATTGTTATGGTATTTACATGAACCAGACTGCGGTACAATATCTGCATTGTACATATTAAAAGAGATCTAGAATATTAAAAGAGGAAATATCTTTCCATTTGGCTTTAATAAATCCAGTCCTGTATCCTGTTACATGATGTTTAATACACATGTATTTGTATATATGCACACGTTATTCTAAACTGTGTGCTGAACGATGATTTTTCCTCAATTCCAAGCCTCTAATCCACCACACTGCTGCCTTGCCAGAAGCTTACTTTAAAAATAACCCCAGGGAATCAGATGGTTATATTTAAAAACAAAGCTCTTAATTAAAGTACAAATGAGGATACTGCAGTAGACTTTTTTTTTTTTTTTTTTGGTAATCAAATCAGAGCTTCCAGGTGCAATCATTGTCTCTGAAGACTTTTGATAATTACCATGCAAGGCATTTTGCTAGCCCCTGAAGCCACCTAACTTCAGCATTTTGCAATGTTTTTCAGCGTATCAATTTAGAGTCACTAATCCTAGCAAGATTAAGCTTTGCCTTTATCGTCTGTATCTGCCCTGATTTAATACTGACTATACATTGTCTTCTAGTGATCATACTAAGAAGTAAAAACACTGTTTAGAGTAATTATACCACATTACCAAACTTTAGATGAACTGATTTCCTTTCCCTCTTCCAATCCAGATAGATTCTGTTTCATCCAAATAGCCACCAGTATTTTACAAAGTCACTGCAGGTTCAAGTGTGTTTATTGACTTCAGCAGCATTAATTTACAGCAAAGCCAATATAACTCTGAAGGTCCAGACACCTTTACATTCCACTTAAAAAAAATGTGTGTGCAAATCACCCGTTTAAGTCTGAACTTGAAAATGGGAAAACATCTCACAGGAGACTGCAATTATTTATATACATGGTGAACAAAAGCCACTGGAAAGAATGAATAAGATAAAGAATTTATCCTTCTTGGTATTACATATTGTTTATCAATAGATGAAGTTACATTAGTTGATTTCTAGTCTAGACTAGAAAACTGATACGTTGTATAGTTTCATGAAATCTTGCAAAATATGTAATACTAAAACATACATATTTAAACAAAGAGCCTGATGCAGCAGAGATCTGAAGCTCAACCTTAAAGTTAAATGGATGTTTCCATGTATTAGTAGATTAGATGCAGTAAGGTACAGGTTGTAACTCTCCACGTAGTAAGACCAAAAAAAAAAAAAACTATCCCAATCAAACATGCGCATGAGATAACATTACAAGATAAGCTACATATGCTTAGAAGGAGTGCCCAGTAATCTGTCTGAATGTAATTATATGTCCTGCTAGTGCCAATTGTGTTACATGTTAATCACCTCTTAGCACACAGGTAATTTTAATCTGTGTCAAAGCCAGCACTAAGGATTTATATTTTAGGCCTGTGAGGCGTGAATAGAGTTTTAGTTTATGATCCTTGCCATGCTCAGAATAAAATACATTTATACCTTATAAGTTTATAAGGTATTAAAAGTAATCTTTAAGTTCTTTCACAATGTGTAGACATGGAACCATTTCGTCTGTCTAGCCATACCACTGGCTTCTGCAAAAAGTAAATATAGAGGGATAGTCTATAGACAGTCTTTCAGCCTTGAGAATATCTGTATTACTGATCTGACAGCTCCCTTGTAATTTATTGGGATTTCATATGCATATGTTTGTACAAGTAGCAGCCAGTAAGTCTTGAGTTTATTGAACTAGCCCAAGTATATTTTAGGAGAGGACAATATTTATTCCATATTTACAGCAGTATGGGTTTGCATTGAGTCACCTGCAGACTTGCAGCAAGACAAAGCCTACAGGGCAATATGATACATAAGCACATACCCTTTCTGCTTTAGCTTTCCTCACCATCCTTCCCTACAGGCTTTCTTTTTTTAACGGTCTTCTTTCCAAAAAGATTTTTGAGAAGCCTCAAGGAATAGCATCAAAGTAAATGTTAAACACATTATCAATTGAGCTGGGAGGGTGGAAAAGAAACTGGTGCTAACCAGTCCGAGGATGAAGAGAGCAGGGCAGCGAAATGAAAGAGCTGGGGTACAGCAGATCAGTGGCAGAAAGGATGCTGAGAAGTGATCAGTGTTGCAGCAGAGGCAGGAGCAGGTTATTCATTTTCTGGCTTTATGAGCGTTCACTATGTTTGCTATAATTCAGCAGGCAAAAGGCAAAAAGTACTTGATGTTTTCTTCATTGTGAAAGAGAAGGAAAATTAATCTTTCTCAAATAAAGGTAAATGCTGAATTCTTATGTTGTATTTGACTGATTTCTTGCTAAATTAGAATTGTGGGAGATTTTATGTGCCTAGGAAATATGACATGTAGCAATAGAATATTTTTTAGAAATAATAAGAAGCCCAGTCAAATACACAAAATATGATATGAAGTTACCTGTGCATGCCACCAGCCTAGGTACCTGTGGGGCAGTTCAAATGCCCACTACAGAAGTGGTATGCTTTAGCACTCTGTGGTGTGGTGTGAAAAGGAGGGAAGTTCAGGGACAGCTCCTAATGAAATAAACAGAGCAGGTTTTAGTTGTCCTTTAGTTGTCCTTCTCTTCTTAAGTACAGCTCCCTGCTGCTCCAGGATGGCAATATCAGGTGGTTCTGCTTCAGGAGTACATGTAAACAGGTACTTTTCTTGTGGGATTGCATCCCTGCTGGGGGTCAGAACACCTGTAGAGATTATCCTGCAGAAGTTTCATTTAGAGAGAACTGGTGATGATGCATGAGCATAGGCTCAGAGATCTCTGCACACTGAATCTAGGGTGCTTGATGGGGATTGCTGTGACAGTCTGTTAATTACCTCATGGTAGCATGGGAAGGGTGCTCGTTCCTTCCATGGCCAAATTAAAATAACTTTCTGTTGCAATTGCAGTGCTGACCTGTACTCTAAATAACTTTGCTGGTAAAAGAGGATGTAATGAAAATTCCTGATGCCAGAAGCAGTTTCACTAGGAGCACCTTAACCCAAGAAATTTGATCTCAACCTCAGGCTATTTCTGGTGTGGGGAGGGAGAATTAGATGAAATAGCAAGGACATTAAAGCTTCCTAGCTTTAATGTTTCGTCTCTTCCACTGACAGTCCCTAAGAATACATTAAGAGTATAATTTAGTACAGTTTCCAAACGCCCATGTGTCACCAGGTAGGTAAGCATCATTATCTCTAGTGCAGCTGAAACAGAGAAGTTAATTGACTTTCCGTAAGGTCATGCAGCAAATCAATGTCAGAAAAAGGATTAGACTCAACGTCTTTGGTTGGAGAGGCAGATGTCTAATCCACTAGACCATGAAGGCCTCTGCCCAGGCAACTGACTTAACTCCTAAATCTCATTTTACTCCTGTGTTAATTATATTGGTGTTACCTTGCTCACAGGGTTGCCCTGAAGATGAATTAGTTAATTGCTGTTAATTGGTGCTTTGACAATATTGAATACTGTAAGATGGGGTCTATTTATGACAACTGTCTCTTGAAGACACCGTGCCTGAGTACGTGGAGTTACCAGATCTTATAGACAAATACATGAAGCAGCTGTCCACTAGCCACTCAGCAGCAAACCCCCCCACCATACTATTTTTAGAGTAAGTAGAGAGTTTAATGAATATTCTGAAAGTAATGAGCTCCCCAAGCTCATGAGCACAGGGAAAAGAGGACCTGTGTTGATTCCTGTTAAGTCGGCCATGAAGGTGGCCAAGGTTGATTGCTGTTGATCAACAAGCGAGCTTTCCAGCTGTTGGTAAGGGAACAATTTGTAGTGTCTGGAGATAGTAGCTACTGTAGTTTATGTATATCTTCCTTTTTAACACCTCAAACTAAGTCACAGTTTGACTTTTGATAAAGGAAAGTGCACAGGCTAGTTCTGTAGCTGGAGGTATGCTCAAATTATTTTCCTCTAATGAGCGTGGTGAAGTCAGAGTAATGAGGAGACAGTAACTTCACCAGTATCCCAGATTTTATTGCAACACTTGAACATTAAAGCACTCACTGTTCACAAATTATCCATTTCTTGTAGCCACTTAGAATTTTTTTTAAAAAGGTATTTTAAGAAAATTTCCCTTATATTTTCTTATAGTCCAGAGAAGACACTGAGGTGAAGGCACCTACAGGGTTTTTTCTTGATTTTGTACTTTTCCCAATTAGCACCTGCAAGAGCTGCAGGAAAACTGCAAGTATGAAGGGACTACTTGAAAACAGTGTCCTTCTAAACAGACTTTAATTCTGATTTAGTAAAATATGATAAATAATGTATTTGGCCTCTCAAAACCTGTGTGTAAAAGTCTTGTATAAGAATATAATTAAATGAATAATAAATAAAGAAAATGTTAATTTTAAGAGACTTTGAAAAGTGGAAATGGCTCTTAGGAGGCTTTTCTTAGGTTGCTCTCAGGGACAGCTGGAACTGCAGTCTCATATGAGATGCAGAGCTTTTCTGCTACTTGTCCCTACAGATGGACAGAAGAGGCTCCTTGAATTTATTCCTGAGAGCAGAGACAGTCAGCACAGCTTGTTGACTCTGCTGGGATGTATTAGTGCCTGCGCTGTGAAAGGACACGTGGAGAGAGCCAGGGCAGACCTCTGTGAAATGCTGAGCAGC